TTATGGTTTAAGGGAAAGTGTGATGGTCCAGTGGAGGGCATTATGGTTTAAGGGAAGGTGTGATAGTCCAGTGGAGTGCATTATGATTTAAGGGAAGGTGTGATGGTCTAGTGGAGGGCATTATGGTTTAAGGGAAGGTATGATGGTCCAGTGGAGGGCATTATGGTTTAGAGGACGGCGTGATGGTCCAGTGAAGGACATTATGGTATAAGGGCAGGAGTGTGATGGTCCAGTGGAGGGCATTATGGTTTAAGGGAAGGTGTGATGGTCCAGTGGAGTGCATTATTGTTTAAGGGAAGGTGTGATGGTCCAGTGGAATGCATTATGGTTTAAGGGAAAGTGTGATGGTCCAGTAGGGGCATTATCGTTTATGGAAGGTGTGATGGCCCAGTGGAGGGCATTATGATGTAAGGGGAGGATGTGATGGTCCAGTGGAGGGCATTATGGTTTCAGGGGAAAAGTGTGATGGTCCAGTAGAGGGCATTATGGTTTAAGGGAAGGTGTGATGGTCCAGTGAAGTGCAATATGGTTTAAGGGGAAGGTATGATGATCCAGTTGGGGGCATTATGGTTTTAAGGAAGGTCCGATGGTCCAGTGGAGGGATTATGGTTTAAGGGAAGGTGTGATGATCCAGTGGAGGGCATTATGGTTTAAGGGAAGGTGTGGTGGTCCAGTGGAGGGCATTATGGTTTAAGGGAAGGTATGATGGTCCAGTGGAGGGCATTATGGTTTTATGGGAAGGTGTGATGGTCCAGTGGAGGTCATTATGGTTTAAGCGAAGGTGTGATGGTCCAGTGGAATGCATTATGATTTAAGTCCATGGAAGGTGTGATGGTCTAGTGGAGGTCATTATGATTTAAGGGAAGGTGTGATGGTCCAGTGGAGGGGATTTATGGTTTAAAGGACTGGGTGATGGTCCAGTGAAGGGCATTATGATTTAAGGGAAGGTATGATGGTCCAGTGGAGGGCATTATGGTTTAGGGAATGTGTGATGGTCCAGTGGAGTGCATTATGGTTTAAGGGAAGGTGTGATGGTCCAGTCGAATGCATTTATGGTTTAAGGGAAGGTGTGATGGTCCATTGGAGGGCATTTATGGTTTAAGGGAAGGTGTGATGGTCCAGTGGAGGGCTTTATGGTTTAAGGGAATGTGTGATGATCCAGTGGAGGGCATTTTAGTTTAAGGAAAGGTGTGATAGTCCAGTGGAGTGAAATAAGGTTTAAAGGGAGGTATGATGGTCCAGTTGGGGGCATTATGGTTTCAGGGAAAAGTGTGATGGTCCAGTAGAGGGCATTATGATTTAAGGGATGGTATGATGGTCCAGTTCGGGGCATTATGGTTTAAGGGAAGGTGTGATGGTCCAGTGGAGGGATTTATGGTTTAAGGGAAAGTATGATGATCCAGTGGAGGGCATTATGGTTTAAGGGAAGGTGTGATGGTCCAGTGGAGGGCATTATGGTTTAAGGGAAGGTGTGATGGTCCAGTGGAGTGCATTATGGTTTAAGGGAAGGTGTGATGGTCCAGTGGAGGGCATTATGGTTTAAGGGAAGGTGTGATGGTCCAGTGGAGGGCATTATGGTTTAAGGGAAGGGTTGATGGTCCAGTGGAGGACATTATGGTATAAGGGCAGGAGTGATGGTCCAGTGGAGGGGTGCATTATGGTTTAAGGGAAGGTGTGATGGTCCAGTGGAGTGCATTATTGTTTAGGGGAAGGTGTGATGGTCCAGTGGAATGCATTATGGTTTAAGGGAAAGTGTGATGGTCCAGTAGAGGGCATTATGGTTTATGGGAAGGTGTGATGGTCCAGTGGAGGGCATTATGGTTTTCAGGGGAAAGGGGATGGTTCAGTAGGGGGCATTATCGTTAGGGGAAAGGGGTGATGGTCCAGTGGAGTGCATTATGGTTTAAGGGAAGGTGTGATGGCCCAGTGGAGGGCATTATGATTTAAGGAAGGGAGGATGTGATGGTCCAGTGGAGGGCATTATGGTTTTCAGGGAAGTGTGTGATGGTCCAGTAGAGGGCATTATGGTTTAAGGGAAGGTGTGATCGTCCAGTGAAGTGCAATATGGTTTCAAGGAAGGTATGATGATCCAGTTGGGGGCATTATGATTTAAGGGAAGGTGTGATGGTCCAGTGGAGGGGATTATGGTTTAAGGGAAGGTGTGATGATCCAGTGGAGGGCATTATGGTTTAAGGGAAGGTGTGTGGTCCAGTGGAGGGCATTATGGTTTAAGGGAAGGTGTGATGGTCCAGTGGGAGGTCATTATGGTTTTAAGCGAAGGTGTGATGGTCCAGTGGAATGCATTATGATTTAAGGGAAGGTGTGATGGTCTAGTGGAGGTCATTATGGTTTAAGGGAAGGTGTGATGGTCCAGTGGAGGGATTATGGTTGAAAGGACTGGGTGATGGTCCAGTGAAGGGCATTTTGATTTAAGGGAAGGTGTGATGGTCCAGTGGAGGGCATTATGGTTTAGGGGAATCTGTGATGGTCCAGTGGAGTGCATTATGGTTTAAGGGAAGGTGTGATGGTCCAGTGGAGTGCATTATGGTTTAAGGGAAGGTGTGATGGTCCAGTGGAGGGCATTATGGTTTAAGGGAAGGTGTGATGGTCCAGTGGAGGGCTTTATGGTTTAAGGGAATGTGTGTGATGATCCACTGGAGGGCATTTAGTTTAAGGAAAGGTGTGATAGTCCAGTGGAGTGAAATAAGGCTTAAAGGGAGGTATGATGGTCCAGTTGGGGGGCATTATGGTTTTCAGGGAAAAGTGTGATGGTCCAGTAGAGGGCATTATGATTTAAGGGAAGGTGTGATCGTCCAGTGGAGTGCAATATGGTTTAAGGTAAAGGTGTGATGGTCCAGTAGAGGGCATTATGGTTTAAGGGAAGGTGTGATGGTCCAGTGGAGGGCATTATGGTTTAAAGGAAGGTGTGATGGTCCAGTGGAGGGCATTATGGTTTAAGGGAAGGTGTGATGGTCCAGTGGAGGGCATTATGGTTTAAGGGAAGGTGTGATGGTCCAGTGGAGGGCATTATGGTTTAAGGGAAGGTGTGATGGTCCAGTGGAGTGCATTATGGTTTAAGGGAAGGTGTGATGGTCCAGTGGAGGGCATTATGGTTTAAGGGAAGGTGTGATGATCCAGTGGAATGCATTCTGATTTTTAAGGGAAGGTGTGATGGTCTAGTGGAGGTCATTATGGTTTAAGGGAAGGTGTGATGGTCCAGTGGGGGGATTATGGTTTATAGGACGGGGTAATGGTCCAGTGAAGGGCATTATGGTTTAAGGGAAGGTGTGATGGTCCAGTGGAGGGCATTATGGTTTAAGGGAAGGTGTGATGGTCCAGTGGAGTGCATTATGGTTTAAGGGAAGGTGTGATGGTCCAGTGGAGGGCATTATGGTTTAAGGGAAGGTGTGATGGTCCAGTGGAGGGCATTATGGTTTAAGGGAAGGTGTGATAGTCCAGTGGAGTGCATTATGGTTTTCAGGGGAAAGGGGATGGTCCAGTAGGGGACATTATGGTTATTGGAAAGGGTGATGGTCCAGTGGAGGGCATTATGGTTTAAGGGAAGGTGTGATGGTCCAGTGGAGTGCATTATGGTTTAAAGGAAGGTGTGATTGTCCAGTGGAGGGCATTATGGTTTCAGCGAAGGTGTGATGATCCAGTGGAGGGGCATTATGATTTAAGGGAAGGTGTGATGGTCCAGTGGAGGGCATTATGGTTTAAAGGGAAGGTGTGATGGTCCAGTGGAGTGCATTATGGTTTCAGGGAAAAGGGTGATGGTCCAGTAGCTTGCATTATGGTTTAAGGGACGGTGTGATCGTCCAGTGGAGTGCAATATGGTTTAAGGGAAGGTATGACGGTCCAGTGGACGGCATTATGGTTTAAGGGAAAGGGTGATGGTCCAGTGGAGGGCATTATAGTTTAAGGGAAGGGGTGATGGTCCTGTGGAGGGCATTATGGTTTAAGGGAAGGTGTGATGGTCCAGTGAGGGCAATATGGTTTAAGGGAAGGTGTGATGGTCCAGTGGAGGTCTTTATAGTTTAAGGGAAGAGGTAACGGTCCAGTGGTAGGCATTATGGTTTAAGGGAAGGGGGGTGATGGTCTGAGGGAAGGTGTGATGGTCGAAGGAAGGGATGATGGTTTTAGGGAAGGTGGGATAGTCAAAGGGAGGAGATGATAGTTGAAGCGACAGTTTGATGGTCCAGGGGAAAGAAATGATGGCTTCAAGGGAAGGTGTGATGGTCCAATCGAGGGGATGATTGTTTAAGGGAAGGTGAGAGATTATGTTCCGTTGTGAAAGCTACCTTCAGTGATATGCCATACCGTGACATGTTACTTGAATAACGACACAAATAGATTATGTAGCAAGACAAGAGAGGGTGAGGCAATTATTCAAGAGGGACGAAAGGGAAGAGTTGATTCACAGGGGATGTGATGGACCAGGCGTATTTGAGAAGATCAAGGTGATGATTCACGACGGAAGTGATGATTCAAAGGAGAAGCGTTGCTTCCGGGTAAAGATGGCTGAAGGAAGTTGATTCAGTGGGAATTGAGTGCTGGTTTAAGATGTTCAAGGCCACTATGCTAGGGGTAGATGAGATGAAGTAAAGTGGGGTTTTGCGGCGTGATTAATTTCAAGATTGTTGCACTTGTTTTGCACCTTGCATGTCTTTTGCGTTGTGATTGCGTTTAGTATTTCGGATTAATACGGCTTTTCTGGTGCTATGCCAGGAAGATACCCTGCCGCAGTGTAATATGGTTACCCAACTCAGACACCGATTACTCCTTGTTTGTCCATATTTGAACGTCATGGTACGTTTTGGTTTGGTTTGATGTTTTACGCCGCTCTCAGCAATATTTCAGCTATATGGTGGAGGTCTGTAAATAATCGCGTCTGGACCAGACAATCCAGTGATCAACAGCATGAGCATCAATCAACAACGAATAAATGTCAAAAAGATTGAAATTTCATTTGACATGATAAAAAGGATTTATATGTACCCCAGATAGATAATTTATTCATATTATAAAATACAGTATTTAGGAGGCGGCTGTATACAACCTGTTGTAGCATGACAAATATACCTGGACAAATTTTTACAACATCAATGTTAACTAAATATATTAGAGAAACAAATCTGTGGATACTTTGATTGACATCAATCTGTCGTTTTAAGTATATACTGCTAAGATTACAGGCAAGTTCACAGGAAGCATCGGCATCAGTCTCTTTCTCTGTCTTTTCTTTCTCTCTCTCTCTCACGCTCTCGTTCAGTGTGTCTCATCCCTCTCTCTCTATATATGTACACACATATGACTTTGAATTTGAAATAATACAGAAACACAAAACTCATTGTATCATCTGATCTGGAAAGGGTTTCCAAGATTATAACTTTGGATTGATAAGTCCATTCATTCGAGGATACGGAATCTGCATTTATCACTATGGCAACATAAAATAAATACACTGTATATTATCCGCAGTGAAGAGGTAGTTTAATGTTTCTTATACTATGGCTATATCCGCTGGGGCTGTATCAATAAATTCCGGTCATTCAAGCATCACGTCACACAAATTCTCTACACGTATCTAGTAAAAGCAAGTCAATAAAATAGGGGTATTTCACACGGGAAAACAGATACTATCTACAGACCGTGACCTGAAATAAACGCCTGACCATGGATTCTTTTATTTTTGGCGTACTTTCGAACTTTTGTTACCAACTTCAACAGAAGCCCCAAATAGCAACAACCATCATTATAAATGTTGCTAGGCTGGGTGACATGTGACCGGAAGAGGAACTCTGGCTCTGGAAGGCTGCGCATTCGTCTGTAAAGAAAGGAATTTGTTTCTTACTGTCCTCATTCCTTTCACACCTGATTCTGGATATGTCAACGAAAATGTATGATTTTAACAATATTCCAGCAGTATCACTGCTGGGGACACCAGAAATGGGTTTCACACATTCTACTGATGAGGCATTCGTCACCACTCGCCCCTTTCCGTCGCTATTCGGCTCGTCCCGGAATAACACGAGTTGGTCACGAATGCTGATGAGGCCTCGGACTCGGATATCTCCGGCGAACGGCGAAGAGCGAACGCTTTGACCTGTAGTAGACTACGGCACCGGCCCGCTGCTAGCAGACATTTACCACTCTGGTGAAATATAACATCACGGGTATGTTGCTCACAAACCTAAAACATTTGGGCAAATCTGCGACTCGAACCTACGTTCATAGGTTTCTAGCGTGTCCAAGGGACGCAACTCCGAACTGCAAATTTATGACGATTAGGCCACCCTTGTCCCTACACCGTACACGGCTATTACACCCCGCCTCTCAACAGGAGAGAGATCAACTGTCCATTACCAGCGAGATCCCTCTCGTACCAGGAGTGGTGCAACCTTATCTGAACAGACGCCATATTGTTGTCGGATTACGATAAATAGAACCTAAAACGGGCATAGCGTTCTCCTGATTGTCCTCTGTATATGAGGGGCGGTGGGGTAGTCTAGTGGTTAAAGTGTTCGCTCGTCACGCCGAAGACCCGGGTTCGAATCCCCACATGGGTACAATGAGTGAAGCCCATTTCTGGTGTCCCCCGCCGTGATATTGCTGGAATATTGCTAAAAGCGGCGTAAAACCAAACTCAGTCAGTCAGTCAGTCCTCTGTATATGTGTCCAGCAGATGTATTAGTAATGCTGCTGAGGACGTATGCAATAAAACCGAGACATGATTAGTTCAGGTTTCTTACCCGTTGGTGTGCACTCTTTACAAGACAGAGGACATTCGTCTCTAAAGAAAACTCCAAGTCCGTCCCTCTCACAGTAGCCATTGGCGGCGAACAGGGGACAGCCTTCGTCATAGTCCATGCAAGACTCTGAGGGGGCTGAAACATGGTCAGGGTAGGTCAGTGATGCATGTTGGAGGTTAAAGGAATACTCTTAAATCGAGCCTGGTCAAAAGTCCGCTTATGAGCTGTACTATGATTTGTATCATACGTGGTCAGACAAATATTTAGTTCCTAAACTATAATTACCTTAGTTATCTAAAAATGAATAAAATATTATGTGGTATGGTATGTGACCTGTCTGTGATGTCGAATAGGGTATATTTAGTGGTTTATGTTATAGTTCCTGTGTGAAACTTCGATTTGTGTTAGATTGTATAGAGTTGTTTAACACTGTACACAACAGCAGTCTGGGTGTAAATGATCTAATCTGAACCAGACAATCGAGTAAATGTCTTCACGAGTATCGATCTTCGCAGTTGGGATAATTTGCACCAACCATGTCTGGGGGCCTGATCAACCGGTGCCGTTATAATCAGTCTCCCTTTCTGTTGCTGATGACCAACCCGTAACATATGTTATATTTGGGATTACACTTTCTTAGTAAAGTACAGTTTCAAGTACTCTTGGGGTTGAGTCCCATCCGTGATTCGAACCCGCACCCTCAGAGTCAGGCACCTTATCGCCAGCACACAAAGTCAGCCGTCTAACCCGCTCAGCCACTGTGACTTCCACAAAAATTGAAGTCGCACAACTGGTAGTCTAGACTGCAAACTTTGTGAACCCCTCTGATAACTGTAAATTGGCACGGCTCCTACGGCCGAAAGCTATGCTTACACAAGGCCATTCAGAAAGTGGTCAAATGTAACATATACATGTATTATATTTGGGATTACACTTTCTTAGTAAAGTACAGTTCAAGTACTTTTTTGGGTTGAGTTCCGGATGGCATTGTGTGATCATAACTTTAACCGGAAGGTCACGGTTGTACATTTTGTACAGGTGTGGTACAAGAACAGCGTGTGGTATATGCATAGGTGAGGTGAGATAGGGTTAACGTCGTACCTAAGAATACTTCGCTCATATGACGACGTGCATGCGTGTGTATGTGTATGTGCGGCTGCTTGTACTAGCCCACACTTAAGCTGGTTTTATACTGCTAGCCCACTGAGATACCAGACCGCAGTGAAGCATGAATACCCCACTCAGACACATTATACTGACTCCGAGCCGACCAGTCCTTGTTGTACCCATTAATGCCGAGCGCCAGGCAGGGACCAACAGGTACCATATTTTAACGTCTTTTGGTATCGAACCCGCGACCTTCCGCTCTCCGCGCGGACGCTCTAACCACTAGACCACGGAGGCGGTTACTATGTATAGAGTGTAGCACATGCATATTACGTAATGTATTGACAATGTATACTGTATACTTTGTGATATAACACGTGTCATGCCTTGGTGTGTCACTGCATTTGAACCCCTTGAGGCTGTGTGATGTTGTACTTCATGGTGTGGCATAGACTGGAATCCTGCCAAGTACATAGACTGCCAGGTGCAGTGAAGAGCGCAGGCGTTTTAGGGCTAGAAAGCCAACTTGGGCTTTGCTTGGGGTGGCGTGATTGAGTTTGCATTCGTTGGACTTATTCGCTAGACAAAAGCCGTGAATTAGATAAGTAGCGTTGAACATGAATCTTCATACTTGAGATGCTCTAATCAGCAGGAAAAATGTTTCATTGTAAGCTAAAAAGTACTCACTTGTGCCGCAGAGGTTACATGTTTTTCTGCAGAAGACACTCATTCTAGCCATGTCGTTAGTACAGAGACCCCTGGCCTTGAGGTCAGCGCAGCCGCTCCGTACATCCATACAGTCGGGTCCTGACACAAACACACAGACATTTCTTAAAGAACAGTAAGTAATTTTATCATCCCAAACTGACTCCCACAATCAATAACTACAAGCGATAGCTACAATAGAATTGTAAACCAAAGGTGACTGTTCTTAAATCTGATTGGTTGAACAACATGATCGAATGGTATTCGATTCCCGAAATTGCAAGACCATTCGCTGCGTGTGAATACGTACAAACATCGCACACACCATTGTATTGCTACGTCGTCAGCAGTGGTGACGTCATTCTAATCATACTGTGACGTAAAGTCCAAATGGCGTCACAAATGAGCAGTTCCTGATGCCACCATGGGAGACAGACGAAACGGCCGGCTAATGTGACATTTCACTACGCACTCGATGTCAATGAGTGCAGACAGAAAAACGTGTGTTGACCTTTTGGTTTACTTTTGTGTTTACAATGTTGATAAACATCTGTGTTGGCCAATTTCTGGGTGTTACTGAATATTTGAAGCACGGGAATATTTCATTTGAAACCTCCGGCTGACGTCGTCGGTTCCAAATGAATTCCCGTGCTTCAAATACTCAATAACACCCGGAAATTGGCCAACACATGATGTTTATCTCCTAATTGTCATAATGCTATTACATCGTTAGTTAATGACCTCACAATGCTTTGATATCCCTAAGAACACAGCTGACAATGCTATGACGTCACAAAGTTGATGACGTCACAATGCTATGACGTCACTGGGATCACTGCTCGAGTAGCCTAATGGCAGTAATGTTTTCAGATAATTCATTCTTTTACTGATAACTGATGAAGAATGATTTTGGATGATAAATACAATCCCCCCCCTCCCCCTCGCGTCTTCTGATATCAAATATATCAACACTCCTGGTTAGAACTCCATGTCCTACTGTGACACCATATCAGACCCAAATGTCCTAGTGTATAACTATATTTGTTCATAACCCGATGTCCTAGTCCATCAATGTTCTACAACCCCCATGTCCCGATTTTATACTGTATTAGTATGCAACACGGAATAATTTACATTCTAACTGTAAGAAACCCTAGTTCTAGTGTACCAAGATACCTAAGGTATACACATTTGATCACCTGGTGGAACACCTTCTGTTGTAGATGTTGCAGACGTTGTTGTTGTTGGGGTTGTTGCCTTGGTTGTCACTATCGGCGAATTTCCACATGGGACAACAGGACTGGTTCTGAGAGGCCCTGGGCAGTAACACCTGCAGTCCTTGGCTCGGAACCCCTCCCCAGGACAAGGCCTTGTTGTGCAGCCCACTGGAAGCAATAAAAAGCATTTGCTGGTACTGGAACCCAAACTCAAAGCTATAAAGATTCCAACCACACCATCAGCATGTGTTTACAAATCACTATCAAATACTAGTGACAAAAACCAATAAACAACAACCCCAAACACCGAAAACCCCCACAAAAACAAAAACAAAACGGATCAGAACCAAACCCTAACCCATACATGGGCATGCTGAGTGTTTATCGAGGAAAAGCAGGAAACCAGAGTCTGACAGTTCGTCTTAGAAATAGTGTTTAAAAATTTACATTTAAAAAATTGTTAACCTCAAAGAGAGCCACAAACTATTTTCAAAAACAACTCACTGGTCCCTGCACAGTTGTACATGAGATTGGCCAATTTGATGTCACGGAAGCTCAAGCCGAACCGCTGTCCTAGTCGGTCTTGGTCTTCTGGATCACGTGTCACAATGGTGCCGGGTCCGAAAGTCTGTAATACATATGGCGACTCATGATTAAACAACACACAAATACACTGGGAACACAATCCAAACAAGTGCTCCACTCTACCACCTCTACCGTACTTTGGTATGACGTAACCAGCGATCGAAAACCCACACTTCCGCTTTCTAGGCAGACGTTCTACCCACAAGACCAAGAGACGGTCCTTTGAGCTATAGACGTAGACGTTACCATTTTCATTGCTATGGCTACTACCAAGTACTACTGCTGCTGCTACTACCACTACCACTGCCACTACCAGTACATTACCAACACTGAGCTAAACGTTACCTTTTCCACTGCTATGACTACGCTATAGGCGTATACGTTACCATTACATACAGGTCTACAGTGTGACGAGCAAACGGTGTAACCAGTCTGCAATCATAAAAAGACCTTAATTCGAGCTCCCACTTCCTGCCTCAGAACAGCATGGCAGTGCTACCCACAGGGATTTTTGTCAAAACGCAAATTGTGCTTTTGGACTGAAGAAAAAGATTCTGTTTGAGAAAGAAATTTGCTGCCCCGCTATATGTGTTGTGTAATCATTGCCTCCCGCCCTGGAGAGGTGTATTTAACATAACGATCGCTAATTCTACTTAATGTATATGAATAATGAACAAAACCACTGTGATCAGGTTTAAGTGGGACTAAAAATGGACCCCCATGAATTTTCGAATTTGAAAATTCGAAATCGAAATTAGCGTAAATATTTATTTTCGATTACAGAACTCAAAGGAACAATTCTGACGATTTCTATCCCCGATGACAGCATTGATATGTTCACATGTTATTTGATGACGTATGAATAATGTAATGTCTTACAAAATCGTTTCATAATTGATTTACTGAATCAGTGCTAATATATCTACAACACGACTCTACTATAGTATAGGCCGATACATACATTGCCAGAGTAGTGCATGATGCTGTCATAGTCGTATTCGACACCGCGGTCGTTGACGAGAGCTTGTGCCACTTTTCCAAACTGTGACCTCCAGTTGACGGGGATTTGGTCGAAGTTGATGGTGACGTAGTCATCCCTGTCAGGTCTCGCCTGCTCGTGGAACCATCCAATTGCGTGGCCAAATTCGTGTACAACCACACCTTTCTGAATAACAGACGACAGGGAATGAATACGAATACAAGTGGGTGATGATCGTAAATTACCTGGAATATGAAAGCCAGCGGCTGGGACAGGACAGGGTCAGGAAGTGCCGGCACAATCTGGTGTAGAGGGGGTTAATGTGCGACATGGTAGACATGGACGATTGCTCACAATATTGAACACTGGTTTGCTTTGTACACATTGGATTAAATACAGACCGTCATTTGCTGTTAAGACAGACAGGACATATAGCTTGCTGTGATTGACCTGTACGGCCTCATTACCCTCCTCCACAACACCCTCTTCCCCGACACGCCCACTCCGTCTTCGTCACACACGTTCCCCTTTCGCCCTGACCCACCTACCCCATCCAAGGACAGACCTACCCGCTTCCCGACACACATAACTCCGCCCAAGACACACATCACCCCCTCCCTCACAAATATTCCCAGACATACCACTTCCAGAACAAACACACACAAACACTTACGCTACGGCAGTTGGGAGCCAATGCCAGGTCCTGAACGCCCCCCGTTCTCCCAAGTCTGGAATAGCATCTGTAAAGATAAACAGTTTCTATTACTAAGGTATTACATTGACTCTATGTTGCCAAACGACACTGACACTATGAAGACGATGAAAGCTCCAGCGGCTTAATACAGTCACTTTATCAGCTGGACCTTGTATTACTGAAGTGGACTTACCCCCCACCGTTGCGGACTCGAATTCGACTTTGCTCGGTGCTGCTTTTTCTGAAGTTAAGACATGTGTAGTTCTCCCATTCCGCTAAAGCTTCTTTTATGACGGCTTGGTCCGAGTCAGCTGAAAACGGAAGCGAATATCGTCCAGCCAAACATAACAAAAACACTCTCTCCCTTTTGAATTTCAAAATATACTCTGTTGACACGTGAGAGTATTTCCAAATTTGGTGCGTCAGTGTCAAAAATGATGCCCAATGCATTTCCCTATTTTGACTCATCTTCCTGTGTTCTTTTCAGTGGAACAACTGACTTGCCTTTACCTTCAACAGGAAACACTCGGCTTTACAAGGACGCCTGGTGTTATTATTTGATAGTGATTCATTAACTCGTGTAAATTATATAGCTCAAATTATACAATCGACACTGCTTTTAGCAGAGATTTCGTGCGAATACGGAATGTGGTTGGTTTTTTTTTAAATCCAGGAGTACTCTCAATAGGTAGTCTCGCGACTTTGACAAACAATAAGGTTAGATTTGAGGGAACTACGCCGATGCGATCCAATCAATATCTGATGATCAAGGCTTACACGCCACATTTAAACGACACCGATTTATAACAACAGCAATGCCGCAATAGACGATTGAAAAAGACCCGAGTTTAATACATAATTCTGTCACTCAGTGTGCTAAGTAAGGGTTAAAAAAGTTTGTTCACGCACACTGGCGGTTTCTTGCTGCAGTAATAAATCTGTTATTCACTGTTCGATGTTTTGATACGTAAGCTCATACACTATGCCGTCACACGTGACATCACAGATAACCATATCTGACATTCTCTTTCAGTAGAGTTACAAGTATATCTCCTGGCAGCTGACTATGACGTCACACGTGACATCACAGATACACATATCTGACATTCTCCTTCAGTAGAGGCGACTATGCTTGTCGTAATAGGCGACTAACGGGATCGGGTGGTCAGGCTCGCTGACTTGGTTGACACATGTCATCGGTTCCCAATTGCGCAGAGCGATGCTCATGCTGTTGATCACTGGATTGTCTGGTCCAGACTCGATTATCTACAGACCGCCGCCATATAGCTGGAATATTGCTGAGTGCGGCGTAAAACTAAACTCACCCACTCTTTCAGTAGCGTTACATGTATATCTCCGGGCAGGGAATTGTTTAAACTGATGGATTATTGGGGCGTAGTCTGTCAAAGGCGCCAGACTAGTGATCCAGCGAGGTTAAGGTATCGGGATCGAGCCCACCTGTGACCGGGTGTAAAAGCCTTCGAGTCAACTTTGTGTGCAGACTCTTTCAGTGTTGTCACAACCCCTAGTGTACAGTACACAACCCTGTGCACTAAAAGGACCCACGAATCCGCTGGTAAATGACCAGATGGTGGCCACATGAATACGTGCAAACACCTAGTGCAGGTACAGCAACGTGCAGTGAAACTTTGGACAAAGTACAGTGACTATGTGTCCCAGTCCACAGCTGTGAATGGGTACTTCGTAAGGATGGGAAAGCCACATTAACTCCGTGCGCCTAGTCACTGCAAGAGTTGCATGGTCCCCAGGGAGTTGTGATTGATAATACGATGTGCCGTTTGGGTTTGACATCCAATGATCGAGGAAAAATCAAAGCGCCTTTGAGTATCTGAGCTTTATATTGGCGCTATACAAATGTTATTATGATAATAATTACATCATGGCCAGGACTTAAGAGACGGGTCGGGATTCAAACCCTAGACTCCAATAACTCACTAAAATCAGCATCTACGGTCTCATAGTAGACGTTGCAGTTTTCCCAAAGCTGTCGGTCACTGGAGGTAGCTTTCCTCTTGCTTCGTGATCTTCTCTCCCTGATGATAGAATACAGAAATAAGAAAAATATTAATGAATTGGTCCTCGTTATTGCCACCGACTGTTTTCCAGATTAAACCAACACTATGTTGTGTTTTTTTAATAATACAGGTTAGTTTGGTAACCAGTGCAATAAATACGAATATTTTTTAAATTGAACTAAAGAATCCTCAGAATTAGTGCTTGTTATGAGGTAATAGTAATAGAAGTAGTAGCGGTATTGGTGTAGGTAAGCGGTATTAGATATAGGTATTGGTATTGGTATTGGTATTGGTAATGGTAATGGTAAAATGGTAATGGTAAAATGGTATTGGTAAAATGGTAATGTAAAATGGTAATTGTAAAATGATATTGGTATTGGTATTGGCAATGGTATTGGCATTGGCATTGGCATTGGCATTGGCATTGGCATTGGCATTGGCATTGACATTGACATTGGCATTGGTATTGGTATTGGTATTGGCATTGGCATTGGCATTGGCATTGGCATTGGCATTGGCATTGACATTATTGGCATTGGCATTGACATTGGCATTGGCATTGGCATTGGCATTGACATTGGACATTGGCATTGGCATTGGCATTGGCATTGGCATTGGCATTGGCATTGGCATTGGCATTGGCATTGGCATTGGTATTGGCATTGGCATTGGCATTGGTATTGGCATTGGCATTGGCATTGGCATTGGTATTGGTATTGGTATTGGTATTGGTATTGGCATTGACATTGGCATTGACATTGACATTGACATTGGTATTGTATTGTATTGTATTGTATTGTATTTTATTGGTAATGGTAATGGGAATGGCATGGTATTTGTATTGGTATTGGCATGGTATTTGTATTGGTATTGGTAATGACACTGGTAATGGTCTAGAGGGTAGAGCGTATGTCTAGAAAGCGTAAATGTGGGGGTTCGATCGCTGGTTACGTCATACCCAAATGCTGTAGTTGGGAGAAGTTGTTGCTGGGCGCTCTGCATAAAGGGAATGAAAAGAGAAAGTGACGGCTCGCAGTCAGTATACCCTGAATGTGTCTTATACTGTGACATAAGTCCCTAGTACCTACTAGCACAATCACACGCACACACGCATCGCTATATAGGTGCAATACATGTGATATTAAACCTCAAGTCAAATACCTCCCACTTCATCTATATGAAAATGGGATACACACTGCGCTTTTGTCTGAGATGACGCAGTTCGCTGTTTAAAGATCCGTCACTTTAGCATGACACACATTTATGACTGAATTCGAGTCTCTGTTTGTTTGCGAGTACCGTGCCCATCCTCGTGTGCTGCGTCAAAGAGGTGAACAGCTTAGAACTGCGTTACCTATTAACAATGGTTTTCCTCTCATAACACGCTCATATGCCGCAGGGGCGGTGGGGTAGCCTAGTGGTTAAAGCGTTGGCTCGTCACGCCGAAGACCCGGGTTCGAATCCCCACATGGGTACAATGTGTTAAAGCCCATTTCTGGTGTCCCCCGCCGTGATGTTGCTGGAATATTGTTAAAAGCGGCGTAAAACCAAACTCAGTTAGTCAGTCATATGCCGCAATATATGTGAAATACTGTTCAAAGGGAATAAAACACAACTCACTCTCTCCTTTGAGAATGGCGAATGATCACTGTCGATTCTGGTAGTAAAACTACCACAAACACTTTGATCTTTTGATAATTGAAAAAAAGCATTCCTTAATTAACTAGCAGTCAAATATTTACACGTTTCCCGTTTATCTTAAATCGTGATATGTTGCAATAAAAACTGCCGAAAGCGGAGTAAAATCTTTCATAATCATAATGTGTTGAGTTCGACGCCCTGTGTCATACTGTCCGACTCCGTGTTATACGAGTAGATTGTGATAATGATGTTATCAGTAGATACCTATTTGGGTACATTTATAATCTGACGTCACATTATTTCAGTTTCGACAATTTTGGAGCTCCTTTCTCTTCGACAGCTCACGTCAGGTTTGTCCCTTACCCGCCAATTTCCTGAGTGAGTGAGTGAGTGAGTGAGTGAGAACAGCCTTTATCTAAAATACTAATATTATGGAAAATTGATAGAACCCCTGACATCTATTTTAAACTAATCGAGAAAGGTGCTTCATTTTAAGTGGCGTAAATGTCATGCTACTGAAAATCTAACACTTTGTTTGATAAAAATAATAATAAAAGTTTTACCCGGAAGGAAAAAGGACAATACACCTCCTTGTCAGACAATCTACATCTATTTCGTTGATGTGATATCTAATAATTAGGTTGAAGCGTAAATGGATGTGTGACAACTTGATACTTCCGGGTTACTGAGCATTGTTCACAGTGTATCGGCTGTCCGTAATCTTTTCTCCCAGACCCCTAACCCCCTTATCTCAATTACCCAGCGGCTGAAGAAATGTACGTTCGGATGTAAAAAAACAAACAACGGTTTTTCCACGCCTACTCATAAAATCACAATTATTTACAAAATGTTTCCGAAGCAAAACGACAAGTACCAAGTGACTTAGTTATAATGTAATTAAATACGTTACACAATTATTGAAAAAACATTATATACATATTTGTTCTTTCTTTATCTGTTTTCAGTTTGTTTCGCTGTCTGGTTGGTTGAGTTTGGAGATGAGAAAAAAACAAACACAAAAAGCAGATGGCTTTACTGTGAAATTGCGGTTGTGGTTAAGTGTTAAATATCTTTTGTTAAACTGACAAACGACAGGTTAGTCAACATGCAGCAGCAGAACATGCTATATCAATTATTGTGAACTGTAATGCCACTGCAGATAGCAAAGAAGGAAAGTATTTATGGTCGGAGACCACGTGCCAGTGTTACATTATCAACACCAAGGGATAGTGTCGTCTCAATTAGGTTAACCTACCCGTATTTTGCTAGTTCCTTTAGCGTCATCAGAATATCCAACTCCACCATCACCATCATCTCCCCGTCACCCATGTCGTGAATTAGATCAAACATCTCATCTGAAAAGGGAAAAGCAATATATATTCACCAAGGAGAAAGTGGTTAAACTATCAGAGTTATACCGCCAAGCAGCAAGCATACCAATATTACCCGACCCAATATATATTCACCAGGGAGAAAGTGGTTAAACTATCAGAGTTATCCCACCAAGCAGCGAGCATACCAATATTACCCAACCCAATATATATTCACCAAGGAGAAAGTGGTTTATGTATGAGAGTTATCCCGCCAAGCAGCGAGCATACCAATATTACCCGACTCAATATATATTCACCAAGGAGAAAGTGGTTAAAGTATCAGAGTTATCCCGCCAAGCAGCGAGCATACTAATATTACCCGACCCAATATATATTCACCAAGGAGAAAGTGGTTAAACTATCAGAGTTATCCCGCCAAGCAGCGAGCATACCAATATTACCCGACCCAATATATATTCACCAGGGAGAAAGTGGTTAAAGTATCAGAGTTATCCCGCCAAGCAGCGAGCATACTAATATTACCCGACCCAATATATATTCACCAAGGAGAAAGTGGTTTATGTATGAGAGTTATCCCGCCAAGCAGCGAGCATAACAATATTACCCGACTCAATATATATTCACCAAGGAGAAAGTGAGCATAACATGCATTTGCATATCTATCAGAAGATGTATATTTGCAGAAGCCAGTGATTTAATGACACTTTGATGCAATTCAATGTAACATTTCTGCAGCATATAACATTCACTTGATTTGTCTATCCATCCTTATCAAACTTGCATAATACACACATCCACATACACACACACACACTCCTAGCTGGGCTGGTTGTGACAAACGGAAAGGGAGAGGATTGTGTCTGTGCCTCATCGTACACCTCAGTGTGTCCGGTTTAGTTGTACTTCCGATTGACGCGGGTGAAAGGTCAGTCCGTTTGTTGGATGTAACACTGAATGGTTCCGCTAGCTTCAAGCCACCATAACCACACACTCATACACGTCATTCAAATTGTTTTAACCACTGCACACACCCAGACACGATACGAGTAACATTACCACCTCTTTTAGATTATACATATTTCGTAAACACCCGGTGTCATCACTGATTTTCAGTGATCTCTTCAAATTTCCACCGCTTTTTCGCCTTTTACGACTAGTGGAAACATTTGGGGAGATAATTGAGACTGGTTGTTCTCTGGTGGTGACTACAATGAAATCATCTTGCTTTAATCTAAAATGCTGTTCGAATGTACCGTTCGGTCGCTGTATGTTAATTTTGTACAGTTGAAATAGAAAGGAGAAAGTGGTTAAACTATCAGAGTTATACCGCCAAGCAGCAAGCATACCAATATTACCCGACCCAATATATATTCACCAGGGAGAAAGTGGTTAAAGTATCAGAGTTATCCCGCCAAGCAGCGAGCATACCAATATTACCCAACCCAATATATATTCACCAAGTATGTTAATTTTGTACAGTTGAAATATACTGAGGGAAAAATAATATAAGGGATCACACGAAAGCACAAGTGTTCCTTTATTTTTTTCCAGGTTTCTTCACAAGTTGTGCGATACAACGCTTGAGAGTTAAATGGAAAAAAATAAAGGAACACTTGTGCTTTCATGTGATCCCTTTTAGTAAAGGAGTCGTGGCTGCTTACAGTCAGTACTGATCCAACGTGTGTGACATTTACATTCTTAAGTCAGCCTGTTTTAATCATCTGTATCTATATATCGGTCATTTGTCACATTGTTTGGTAATGTCAATTGAATAATATATTTATTAGTCTCAGAATTATCAATATGAATTACCAGTTTACTGAATGTGTGTTTTGTGCCTCCATGTATATGTATAGTAAACATTCCTGCTTTGGCCGAGAGCTTGTTTGTTTTTGAAGAAATGGCGATCCCGAAGCTAATAACCCCTAACTAGTTCAAGGCAGAAAACAGCCACCACAACATGATTGTTTCAACTGGAGAAGAATCTGGTTTCAGAAAGAACATTTTTGATCCAGGCAACAAGTGCATGCTCAAGGCGCTGGTATTTTTTCCCCGATCATTGGATGTCAATCTCAACGGCACATCGTATTATCAATCTCAACTCCCTGGGGAGTATACAACTCTTGCAGCCACTAGGCGCACCGAGATATTGTGACTTTCTCATCCTAACGAGCTACCCATTCACACAGGTTGGACTGGGACATATACCAACGGATTCGGGGGTTCTTTTAAGTGCAGGGGCGGTGGGGTAGCCTAGTGGTTAAAGCGTTGGCTCGTCACGGCGAAGACCCGGGTTCGAATCCCCACATGGGCACAATGTGTGAAGCCCATTTCTGGTGTCCCCCGCCGTGATGTTGCTGGAATATTGCTAAAAGCGGCGTAAGACCAATCTCAGTCAGTCAGTCTTTTAAGTGCACAGGGTTGTGCACTGTACACTAGGGGACATCCTTTCTCTCCTTTCAAGTGTAAGCAGTCAAGTGTGTGATAATAGATAGCATGTATTGCTATACAAAAACGCATGATATAAATGGCTGTCTACTCACGGGAAGAAGCTGATTCCATGATGATCTGATCGATAGTCTTGCCATCAGCTGGTGCTGCATCACACGCCTGGAGAAGAAGCGGAGGGTCAAGCTACGTCATTTGAGTGAGTTAGGTTCACACAGAAGTGAACGATATATATGTTCTGTCATTCTGTTTGATAAACATGAACGTGTCGAGAAATAGAAACAGGCATATTTGAAAACACCACACCGAGTTATTCTAAACACGATGTATAAATATGGTTTGTTAGACAGTGTACGATATATTTCACACACGCACTTGCTCTTTCTCTCGCAGACCCGCGCACACACCTAATGTGCGAACGCCGAACTATCAAGATATCATAAAACCAGCTATACCAACGCCGATATACCATCATGTATCAAAACCATATATACTCACACCGATATATCTTGGTATCACAAAACAAGATGTACTCACGCCGAAATAATATGCCGATACATTGGCGGATCCAGGAATTTTTTAACCCCCCTGAACCCCCATTGACTCCCCCAACGCAAAAACAATCTTCAATGTGGTCTTAAGTCATTTTCAAAGGGCGGTGTGTGTGTGTGTGTGTGTGTGTGTGTGTGTGTGTGTGTGTGTGTGTGTGTGTGTGTGTGTGTGTGTGTGTGTGTGTGTGTGTGTGTGTGTGTGTGTGTGTGTGTGTGTGTGTGTGTGTGTGTGTGTGGAACCCCCTGAACCCCACCTCTGGATCAGCCAATGCGATATACCATGATGTCACAAAACCAGATATACTAAAGCCGAAATTTCACCCCGAGATACCATGATGTGACAAAACCAGACATACTTACGCCGAAATATCACAAGACCAGATTAACAAGGCCCAGACATATGGGTGTATCTGAACCTGACATACTAACTCTCAGGCATTTCATAAGTATCTCTTGTGTCAATATCTGATATATCCCTTTATCACAAAGCTGATATACTTGATCATAAACAGGGCGATCGCAGAACAGAACGCAGACAGAGACAAGACAAAACCTTATCCGAGAACCTGCAGTCACCAGTTCATATATAACAGTGCACGTACATGGAAGATATGTGAACATATAGGATCACAATGGAACATGAAACAGCGAATATGTGTGTGTGTGTGTATATACGCCGCTGAAATGTCGCTTTATTTGTCTTAAATATATAATTTCTACACATCAGTATTCCTCACCTTTTAAATTCTCAAGTGAATGAAAAGTGAATATTCTTACCTGATAAGATACAAGCCCTAGAAGAATAACCACAATCTTCATTTTCAGCACTTTCTTGCAATCGCTGTACATGTGTAGTTGAACCCTAACTCAAGCCCGCTACTGCTGTACGTTTATATGTAACGATTCTGACCACTTCGTGTATCTGCTCATGAGATTTTACTTCCCTGTACTAAATATGTCACGGTGAAACATATCCTGGGAGGCAGAAGTGCGTGCAGTTGTCCCATGTATTACTCTGTAAGGGCAGGATGATTCACATATTCATCGTTGATATTGTGTCATATCATCCTTACACGATGTAGCGAGTGGGAAGTGTTTTATGACACTCTCGAGCCCATTTCAGATAAAAACACACTTTTACTTAAAGATGACATCATGTTTTTGCGTCTTAAAAGTAAAAGTTTTTGAGGTTTAAAGTAACATGCGTGTGCATACTAATATGTGTGGTTAGAACAGGATGTTTGTTACATGTAAACAAGGAACGTAATTAAGCACCCACTGTAATGTTTGAAATGATAGGATTTCAACACGTACATAAAACATTTTTTTCTGGCTCGTGTGACTCATAAAACGACAAAATGACGCAAGTCCCTGTTGAATTTATGATCATATTTAGCAATTCTTCTAACCCCCCCCCCCCAACACACACACACACACACACAAACACACACTTACATTGTAACAACATCACAAGAGTGACAATCAACAAGAAACATATCAGCTGCACCAGTCGTGTAAGAATGTAACCTCCAGCAAACACCTCGGTTTAAAACTGCAGACAGACCATAAGATGAGACTCTGTTTGACATTGCTGATCGAAAGATGGAGAAGACATGCTTCTGACATTCATCCTTTGCCTACTTCTTCTCATCTTTTTCTGGCCTGCTGTCCCCGACTTGGATCGTGCCCGAAACGTCTTCAAATCGTCCACGTGATCAGCGTGCAGCATGGGAACGTAGGTCTGGGGTTCACACATATCCTGCAAGGAAACATACCAGAGAAATTACAAATCTATCTTGAAGAAAATCAGTTGTGTTAGTCTCCGCACAAAATGGAAAGTATATAAATGAGTGGGCTACAATACATTGTCCATAGGAATGTAGTATATTATACAAGCAGACACCCTACCTTGTGCTCACTTGTATCCAGATTGCAGAAGGTAGACCTCGGGATAATACAGCTCTGGGTAACGGTGACTGTTGGCTTTTCTGTCTTCGCTTCTCAAGTGACGCATCCTGTAGAAAGAGAACATGAACATTTAAATAAAGTCTATGGTGACTGAGGGACGATATGGTATATCTGGGAAAATCTTACGTTTGAAGAGTTAACAATAGGCGAAAAATAGCATATCCAATAACAGAAGTAATGTAATATGATTGCTAAACAACTTACATTTTAGGACCTCTTTCGGATGAGAACTCACAATGGAAAATCAAAACTGTCGGTTGGCTAGCAGGGCGTTTAATAAGCTCTGAAATGCCTTCCTCTGTGTATATATTGGTTGCACCTTGGATATGTCCTCCCTCAAATTCGTAGGGGTACCTGCAGTCAACGATACTCGCTAATCTCGGGAAAGCGCCCTTTCATTAGTAGCTGAACCTGAAAACATGCAAGAAGATAAAACATAAGAACAAGGGGTAGATGGTTTCGACGCTCACCAAGACATCCAAATGTATTCACTTAACACTATGTGTATTTTAACTTCCATATCTATTCATTGTTGCTTCTAGATAATGTATGCTGTATGGGCGTTTCTAAGGAATCGCAGTATAATATACAGCAGAGACACACATACCGTTGACGGAGTAAATCTGATATCAGCCTCGGATATATGAGCCATTGTAAAACACGGGGAAGACATACTACTTGTATTGGAGGAATGGAGAATAAAAATCAATGCAACTAGTAGATAAACGCTGGATGTAATGATCCATCTCCTGAGCTCGCTTGCTTATAAGCTGTTATTTAATGAAGCCAGAGATGTCCTCTTGATTTGATTAGTGTGAGCTTATTTCACAGTGAGGTGACGGGTTGAGTTACTGAGCCCAAGTCAGCGGTGATTCAATAAAGCTTAAAACAACACGCTTTTGTAGGCGTGACTGTATACACTGATCTATAGGTCAAATTTAATGACGACGTTGATATAGGAAACATGTTCTACTTAGCCCCTTTTATCTTAGTTCAATGCAACGTCCCTATACCAAGTAATTGGCAACTGCATTTCTACGTATGGCTTCACATACAATAACAAAACGCAATTGTGTCCCACTTGCTTGGATGTCTTGATGTGTGCATTCAAAACTTGGCCTCAACGATACCTTACTTTTGCATGTAAAGTCGACCATACACTGGTCATCCTGAATAACATGAAAGTATGATAGAACATGTTGCGAACCTCTGTTCAATATATGTGTAAGTTAAATATATGTATAAGTTTGTATTGAATAGAAAGTATTGTTACTTGGACAGCAACTGTCTATAGGTATGTGCTCTGTCATCACTTCTGACAGCACAAAGTTGTCAACACACAAGAAAATAATGAGTTGTCGCATTACCTTACATGTGTAAGTTTATATGTGTAAGTTTAACATATTTGTATTGAATAGTTAAATATAAAGTTTGTATTGAATAGAAAGTGTTACTTGGACAGCAACTGTCTATAGGTATGTGCTCTGTTATCACTTCTGACAGCACAAAGTTGTCAACACACAAGAAAATAATGAGTTGTCGCAGTACCTTACATGTGTAAGTTTAACATATGTGTAAGTTTAACATATGTCTAAGTTAAATATATGTTTAACTTAAATATATGAGTAAGTTTAACATATGTTTAAGTTAATATGTGTTTATAGAAAGTTAATATATGTGTAAGTTTTACATATGTTTGAAGTTTCTGAAAGTATATGTGTTTTAACATATGTTTGCTTAATATACATGTAAGTTTAACATATGTTTAAGTTAAATATGTGTCTAAGTTAAATTGAATAGAAAGTATTGTTACTTGGACAGCAACTGTCTATAGGTATATGCTCTGTCATCACTTCTGACAGCACAAAGTTGTCAACACACAAGAAAATAATGAGTTGTCGCAGTGTACGTCAGAACATTAATAGAAACGAAATAGTCTTGCAATTTGTTTTATTGAAAACTGGCCATAAATATCAACGCCATACATAAGGGTAACATTCTTTGAAAATGGTATTATAACAGTAACAATCGTCAACAACTACATGATATACAAATGCATGAGCAGCAGAATAACAATGTCGTTTTGCAATTTGTTTCATTTAAAACAATACATGAATCGTCCCAAACATCGTAACATACTAACATTGTAACAACATCACAAGAGTGACAATCAACAAGAAAACATATCAGCTGCACCAGTCGTGTAAGAATATAACCTCCAGCAAAGAGCACAACACCTCGGTTTAAAACTGCAGACAGACCATAAGATGAGACTCTGTTTGACATTGCTGATCGAAAGATGGAGAAGACATGCTTCTGACATTCATCCTTTGCCTACTTCTTCCCATCTTTTTCTGGCCTGCTGTCCCCGACTTGGATCGTGCCCGAAACGTCTTCAAATCGTCCACGTGATCAGCATGCAGCATGGGAACGTAGGTCTGGGGTTCACACATATCCTGCAAGGAAACATACAAGAGAAATTACAAATCTATCTTGAAGAAAATCAGTTGTGTTAGTCTCCGCACAAAATGGAAAGCATATGAAGATTGGACTACAATACATTGTCCATAGGAATGTAGTATATTATACAAGCAGACAGCCTACCTTATGTTCACTAAAGAAAGCCTTGTATCCAGATTGCAGAAGGTAGACCTCGGGATAATACAGCTCAGGGTAACGGTGACTGTTGGCTTTTCTGTCTTCGCTTCTCAAGTGACGCATCCTGTAGAAAGAGAACATGAACATTTAAATAAAGTCTATGGTGACTGAGGGACGATATGGTATATCTCGGAAAATCTTGCGTTTGAAGAGCTTACATTTAGGCGAAAAATAGTATATCCAATAACAGAAGTAATGTAATATGATTGCTAAACAACTTACATTTTAGGACCTCTTTCGGATGAGAACTCACAATGGAAAATCAAAACTGTCGGTTGGCTAGCAGGGCGTTTAATAAGCTCTGAAATGCCTTTCTCTGTGTGTATATTGGTTGCACCTTGGATATGTCCTCCCTCAAATTCGTAGGGGTACCTGCAGTCAACGATCTGATACTCGCTAATCTCGGGAAAGCGCCCTTTCATTAGTAGCTGAACCTGAAAACATGCAAGAAGATAAAACATAAGAACAAGGGGTAGATCGTTTCGACGCTCACCGAGACATCCAAATGTATTCACTTAACACTATGTGTATTTTAACTTCCATATGTACTCATTGTTGCTTCTAGATAATGTATGATGTATGGGCGTTTCTAAGGAATCGCAGTATAATATACAGCAGAGACACACATACCGTTGAAGGAGTAACAGTCTTCCAATCCCTGTGGTTTCTCGTCTCTACGTTTGGAAGGGAGTGTACTCTTGTGCCATCACCAATAAGGTTTTGGTCAGCAGCTTGCAACTTTTATACAGCAGATCGCGTTTTCTCTTCTTCGTCATCGGAATACAGTCTTCAAATCCCTGTGGTTTCTCGTCTCTACCGTTGGAAGGGTGTGTACTCTTGTGCCATCACCAATAAGGTTTTGGTCAGCAGCTTGCAACTTTTCCACAGCAGATCGCGTTCTCTCTTCTTCGTCATCGGAATTCCAATCCAAGGATATCAGTTCTTGTCTTGAACGTTTGATTGGAGAATCTTCCTGATCATCCAAGTCTTCGCGCTGCCTTTTGGAAGGGAAAAGTGAACGCCTGGCAAGGGATCCACACAAAGAAACTGGGCTCCCATCAGAGGAACACTGAAAAGAATAAATGAATATTCAGCAAAGGCACACAATTTACCAGGCACGATTAAAAGACACATAGGCAGAATCGTTTTTGATTTGTGACATCGTTTTATGTATGCCAGAAACTAGCTAGAATGCATTCAACTATTAAAGAGAAGGAGTACCAACCTCTGATAATGAGTCGGGCGATCCCAAACCACTGTCACTTGATTCGGAGTCGCTGTTTCTCCAGGCACATGGGCTGTCA